CAGAGATTCCACCGCCACTGGAGAATCCTCCACCAGAGATTCCACCGCCACTAGAGAATCCTCCACCAGAGATTCCACCGCCACTTGAGAATCCTCCACCGGAAACTCGCTAGAAATGCCACTTCCAGATGTGTGACCTCCACCATGGGAGAATCCACCTCCCGATGGCGAGGCTAAATTGTAGCCCTGAGGTGCCGCGTAAGTTGCGACCACGAGTGCCGAGAGAACCTGTAAAAATAAAAGGGCCTGGGTAGTATTTCGTAAGGGCACTGTTTTAATTTTGCATTATTTTGGCATTACATACCCGTTCTGTCTGAATATATATGTGTGTGTTAATATTTGGGTGCTTGTCACTTTATACCTGAATGTATGTATGCTTCAGTATGCTCATATAAGCCTGTTTGTAGAACAGGTATCTATGAAATAAGCAAACTACTATCACTACATCCCTCTTATTTCAGCGTACGCAGTAGGAAGTACCACTCACCAAGAGCTTCATGGTGGAAGATGCTGGCTCGTCTAGTCCAGCGCCGCCTTATATACTTCCATTCACTCTCTTTCCTCTCGCACTCCCAGTGACCTCATTTTTTCGTATTCAGAGTTGCTCGTTTAGTTTTACTTTTCTCTTCCTTTATCCCCTTTGCTTAAAGAACGCTGTAGATACTTGAAGGAAATACTTTGTTAGTTTGTTTACTCTCATAACATAACACACACACACACGCACACCACACACACACACACACCACACACACACACACAACACACACACACACACACACACACACACACACACACACACACACACACACACACACACACACACCACACACACAACACAACACACACACACACACACACACATATATATATATATATATATATATATATACATATATATATATATATATATATATATATTATATATATATATATATATATATATATATATATATGTGCATATATATATATATATATATATATATATATATATATATATATATAATATATATATATATATATATATATATATATATATATATATTATGTATGTATACGTATGGCTGTATATGTATAAATGTATATATATAATACATATATATATATATATATATATATATATATATATATATATATATATGTGTGTGTGTGTGTGTGTGTGTGTGTGTGTGTGTGTGTGTGTGTGTGTGTGTGTTGTGTGTGTGTGTGCATGTATGTGTATGTATATGTATATATGCACATACATAGAAAAATATTCAAATGCGTATACATACATACATATATGTGTGTGTGGTTGTGCGTGCGTCTGTGTATGTTGTGTTTACACATATACAATATGAATGTTGTGTATTTGTTATATGTGTTTTATGCGTGTCTGTGATTTATAATATATATATATATATATATATATATATATATATATAATATATATATATATATATATATATATATATATATATATATATATATGTATATATATATATATATATATAATATATATATATTATGTGTGTGTGTGTGTGTGTGTGTTGTGTGTGTGTGTGTGTGTGTGTGTGTGTGTGTGTGTATGTATGAGGTAGGAATATTCATAATCAGCATATGCAAGGTCATAGTCATAAATGAGACAAATTAATAGTTAGTCCATACTATGTGAATAATGTAGAGCAATATCCTAATATTTTCTGATTGCTTATTTCCATGTTATAGATAATTAAAACCGTTAATGAGTTGATTATATGAACAACAATGATTACACATCTGCTAATATTAAACAAATGCTGTTGATATTACTATTATAGCTACTATTATTAATATCATTACTTTGTTAAAAATATAATTCTGATGCCATATATAATTAGAAAGTTCAGTAATGCTGACTATACGCATAATAATATTAACAATTTTACTTTAATTGAAATAAGGTAATGTTACTGATACAATTATTGTATAGATACTACAATTCATATTAGTATTACGGCTATTACTACTCCTGCTTCTGCTGTTACTGCTATTGCTAATAATATTTCAACAGTAATTATGATAATAGGGACAAAATAAATTATGATAAGGATAATAAAGATATATCTTTATGGTAATAGGAACATTTTTTGTATCATTTATAAGATAACGACAAAATTATTAGGAGTATCATTAATGATAAGAGAATTGATATTAGTAACAATAATAGTAATGATAATAATGATAAATGAATTAGTAATAGTAATAAAGATCACGATAGTGACAACTATAATAGTTATGCTAATGATGATGATAATAATCATATTGATAATAATAATACCAAAAATAATAGTAACATTCGTAATGATGATAATGACATCATTGATATAATAATGAAAATGGTACGGATAATTTTACCTGTAAATAGATAATAATAATCTACAGGAACAGGATCAAGTAAAATTATCTTTCATGAAATCACGAGCGATAATTACAATAAGAAAGATGATTAATAGATAAATACATTCTTGGCACGTTCTCAAATTCTATACATATAGGTATTTCAAAGTAAATCACTGAAAGTCTATCTAAAATCTATTTAGTATCTTTCATACATATTTTTCATAATTAGTATGATTACATTCAAACATTTCCGAAGAGCTATCTACAAATTCAAAATTTTGTTTATTTCTACTTCTATCTGATTTTTCATCATATTATGTCCATCTGTCCATGTCTCCCTATTTCTTAGTATATTTATATATATATATATATTATAATATATATATATATATATATATATATATATATGTGTGTGTGTGTGTGTGTGTGTGTGTGTGTGTGTGTGTGTGTGTGTGTGTGTGTGTGTATTTCCACACCACACACACACATACACACACACACACACACACACAACACACACACACACAACACACACACACACACACACACACACACACACACACACCATCATAGAAAAAGTACATATTGGATTAAGAGGAAAATTTTGCAGAAAACATTCTATATTCACTGAACAATTTATACATTTCATTCGAAATGCACACACCCTCACATACGCCACTGCTTCACGGGGCTCACACTTCGTTCACACTTCGACTCGCACACTCATTCACTCCTAGCCAGTCGCTACCTCATGCAGGATGATGTTCCCGCAACTGATGTTCAAACCTTATGACAATGTCATTCTCTTCTATTCCT